AGTGAAATACCAATTCAAGACCTGAATGCTCAGAATAACTTCTTATATCACCTGCACTGCCGTTCCAGCTAAGATCTAACAACATGCATCCCTGCTCTGTTTCATTATTGATAGGCAATATAGACCTGTTTGTCTCTCTTAACTGATGAGAATGATTTACCTTCCTGTTTGTCCTCGCTGAGCTGTGAGAAGAATCTAGATACAGACCCAATAAAAGCATACAGGTTTATTCTCAGTAACTCCCAGCATCGAGGACAAACTTTCACCATTGATGCAGCAGGTATGTATACAAAAACACATAAAGACAAATTTATTAGACTACCACTGAATCTAAGGTTTATACCACAGCTGTCCTAAATTAACAGTATAGGTAATTACCAAAATAATGTTTAGTGTTGCTGTAATGATTAATTCACCAGTAGGAACAAACTCTTTTATCAAAATAAAGTTTTTAATGATAGAATATAATTGTTTTTGTCCATGAATTTTAAAATTTACTTGTTTACTAAAAAGCTGAAAAAGGCACATTATTACCTTTTGATTAAGATGCCAAATTACAGTTATTTATTTGGCTCCCTGAACAGAAAAAAATAGTTTTAACAGTTGAATACACTTGATTAATTTTTGACTTCTCAGAGAAGTCCAGCGTCAGCTCAAATTTGGATATAAAAATGTGATCTCTTTACTTTTAAACACATTTCTGGCAGATTTCTAAAATATTTGTGTTTTGCTTTTGTTTGTTAGTTTGTTTTATGACAGGCGGCCACATAAATTTCTTAAGCACTGAATTCCATTAAACTAACAGCTTGTTGGGGTCCTTTGGTGGCTCTGTGAGTCTGAGACGTCATAATACAGGGTCAGTGAGGTCAGTTTATATTTTATCATAAGTCATCTGGTATCAGTTTTAGTATGTACATGAACTGGGAAATTATGAATGATAAAGTTTCCAAAATGAACATTTATCTTTACCTTTTTACATTTCAGCATTTATCATATTGTGACCCTCTATTTTTATAAATGTCCCTTTGAATGTGCTTAAACCCCAGTTTCAGAATCAGTACCTAATTGAACAACTCTTAATACCAAAGAGTATGTTTTATTTGTGCAACCCGACATATTTTTTTGGATCTCTTCATTAAAAGATTTTTATTTTGTGGCCTAAATCAAATTTGCATCGTTAGTGCTCAAATTTAGCCTTGGGATGGACACAACTATTTCATCCCAGAGCAGAAAAGAACAGCATTCGTGAACCTTTCATTAAAAAAGTAACCGTTTGAGTGCAACTCGCGGTAGGTTTATTTTTAACTTTGGTTTGCCAGTTTGTTTTTACCTTAGGGGCTGGTTTGTTTATATTGAATTTGAAAAAAACATATTTTAATATATCTTTGAGCCTTGCACTGTGAACTCCAGTGGATTCTGAATGCAGGGCTTTTAGTTGTAATAGTAGAGTATCCTCTGCTGGAAATACTATATAACAGGAAGCAGTTTGTTGGTCCCTACTGATCTGAATACCATGCCCCATGCTGACAAGCTATACATAATTAGTTCTGCCTAACGGACAAGCCCTTGTAAAATCCATTCACCAGAGCGCTGTGATATAATGGACCAAATGTTTTAAGATCCTGTCTTGATGCGCTTGCAGAGCCCATGCTATATCTGTAAGAGGACAGATGGCCATCCCTGTTGGTGTGATTCGCCACAGCTTCTCCAAACTAATACACCCGGCATATGGACATGCAGCACAGGGTGGGGGACTGGCACCGGGCCCTTGGGACAGCACGCTGACAGGACAGGGGACAGTTTCTAAAATGCTGGTTCCCAGCCACACTCAAGACCCAAAGCCCTTAGCAGGCATATTTCACTTACATAAATGTTCCTGCGTCTCAGGGAAATGAACCCGCAGGTGCTCGCTGGCGGGCTTCATCCAGCACCAGAGATTAGGTCACGGCTTTCATGAAGCAGGGGGCAGTGGTGCTGGTGACAGTCTGCCATGGGCCATTAAGATGAGGGCAGAAGAGCAGTTTATCCTCATTTAGGATAACCTTGGTTGAAAGGTATCAGGATAATTTCCTTGTGTGTTATCTCTACTCTCCTATCAGAGTGTTCTTGAGCTCTCCTTCTGCTCTCGCCACACTACCCCCCTTCCCCAACCCACCCAATCACCCACCCACCACCACATTTCTGGACCGATCCCAGCTAAAGGGATTAATGGCCTTCTGAAGGAATATCACAGGATATAACAAAACCTACTACCAGAATGAATTCATTTCACAGCTGCCACATCGATGCAGTCCACCTTCAGCTGGGAGGAAATCAATCTGTATGATGCCAGTCACAGGGAAAAGGCACCTCTGTGTAGAGATTCTTTGCTTGTCTCGAGGTATTTACACATGTCAGAGCAGGGCTGAAATAGCAGTGAGTGGCGGAAAAAGAAATGGCAGCTGCACAGACTCTATACTGCCATCATGTGGCGCAAGGTGGCACATTGAAAGTCTCAACTGCAAGCTCGCGCCACAGTTTAAATCAGCTTTAAAGGAAAAATTCACATTACCATTACGAAGGTGCAAACGTGTTGTTTCCACCACCGGGTTGCTTTACACAGCGACAGCATAAATAAACTAAGAAGAAGCTAAAATGAACGCGTTCTGTACCCAGTAAAAATGTTTACTTTGTCACAATCTTTAAATCTATCAGCTGATGAAGGCTGCGAGGGTCTGGGCTTTCCTCAACTGTAGAGTGGAGCCTCCTTTCATAAAAGAGCCATTTGAGGTCATTCAGCCATCTGACCAGGTTGGCTCCTGAGCAGCATCAGAACAGAGAGATTACATCTCTTGGCTGGCTAAGGAACTCCTCAGTGTCTCCCCAGAAGAGCTGAGGAGGTGGCTGGGGTGAGGGAGGTCTGGGCATCTTTGCTCAAACTGCTGCCAAGACCAGGATAACTGACAGAAAATGGATAGATGCAGCTGTCAGCAAGTCACCCTGGTATTTGTAGAAGTGATACCTGCAGGGCCGTGCCTAATGTGGAGCACTGAATTTAATCCACTGCCTTTTTTTACTACTAACATCCATCCTCTACTTTCTTCCACTTATACAATTCAGGACACCCTTGATAGGCAGGGCTAACACAGAAAGACAATCCCTCTGAGTTTGAACCCAAGACCTTCTTACTGTGAGGCAGTGGCCTGAAACCACTGTGCCGTCCTGTGGCAGAGCTAGAAAATTTTACATGGGTGGGCAAAGGAGGGGCAAGAGGTCTAGGTAGGGTAGCGCATACCTCTTCAGTGAAGTATGTGAAAATCCCCCATATTCAAATTAAGTCAACAAAATATCCACAAAACTGTTTATTGTATCTTTTCTTCTAAGAAAACAGACAATTTTTTAGGTTTAGACAACTGGTATTTTAAAGCATTTTAAGGACATAAAAGTTGGGGGGCAGCTGGGGGGGGGAAAGGCTCTACAGCAGTTGCCCCTTGCCCCCCCCCTGGTGCTGTCCTGTATTGAATATTATCTTGAAGTCTGGGTTGCATGTGATTCACGCTGACCCTACTTAAAGTACTTTCACATAGGGTCTGATGAGATGTTTCTCACTGTAACAATATCGCCTGGTCAGCAATGTTCTGGGGAAAATATACCTCGGGATGTTAATCACAAGTGAACAATGGCTGCAGATTGATTTACTTGAACAGAGCTCTGATGAGTCATGGAAATCTGACCTTTTGCACGTAGTTAACAAGCTCAGCGTTACTAACCTGCTTCAGCTTGATTGACGGCCTTGAAACAGGATCCGAAACATTTCTTCAATTTACACGTGGACCCTAACAAATGCCTGTTGTCCGTAATTCTATTAATGATTATTCATCAGCCAACTCCCTTATCACCCACCAGGTCACTGGCAACCCACGATAACGGTTGAGTTTTATTTTGCAATGTTCAGAAACTATGAGATAAACATTCAAAACAAGCTTTTTCTTTAGCGTTAGTTTTTCTGTTTAATGCTTTTCCATTTGGTTGCTACATTCAAAACAAAATTTAACCCTAATTGTAGAAGGGCTGCCAAGAACTTAGTTTAAACATCACGCATTTATTAAACTTTAAAACTGCGCATTTTGACAGGGGATTCTTTTGAACTTACAAAATAACTGGAGAAAAATATTTTAAATAAGATTTTTTAGTTGTATGAAGTTGTCCGATCGGTTGGCTCAGAATAGCCGCTGTTTTTGACTGAAAAGTTCATTTCACAAGGTACAGTCCTTATCAACTGACACTTTGGTCACATCCCACCCAAAGTGGATCACCTGAGACTCTGATATCCACAGACAGGCAGATGAAGGCAACCATTAATAATCCTCCTACAGAATTATCTACGGAAACCTTTTACGTCTCATAAATACCTTTAGTTTCCCCCTCCAGTATGACCCAGTGGACCGAGTGCGTCGTTGTCACAAGAACAGGAAATCTTTCATAACAGTCTTTGATTTTAACAGTTAATTGGCCTTTTAAAATGGTCATTTGATCTTACTTATTACTTTAAAATGCTATAACAAACGGAACCACAAATACGCAATAAAAAAATATATATATTGAATGTTAAATATACCTTTACAAAGCAGCGAGTGTCTTAGGTGTTTTTTTTACAACACCGCTGTAAAACAGGTGTGTTGATTATTTGCAAGATGAAACCATCTTTAGTTTTTATTTATTTTGACTGTCTTGTTTTAATAACTGCAGAAATATATTGGCTTTGGGTGTGTGGCATTACATTAGTGATTCAGATCACACTAGTACCATTTTAGGAATGAATTTAGATAGGGTTCCTATTTTGAAAATTGACCACTCCATTTCTATCTTTGACTTCCTGCTGCCCTCATTTGCTACATGTTACAGTCGGCCAGCCGTGGGGCGTCTGGTGGAATTGCAAGCATCACGTTGGCTGGCTTTATCAGAGCCAACATGGCTAGTGTGGACCCAGTCCTTCAAACAATGACTCAAAGAAAAACAGCTTCCAATTTGAGATTTTTATTATTTGGAAAAATTAAGTCTCAAAAATTCAACTTACATTTGAATAACAACTGCACGCAAATTCAAACTGAGGTGTAATATATGGCATAATAATGCTTAACATCTGTCATAATGTTTTGCTTACGACGAGAACTCCAAAGCAGCAGCGAGGAATCCGTAATCATTAAAGTCGACAGGTTCAAGTAAGACATGTAATTACAGCTCGTTAGTCCTTTAAGTTAAAAGCAATTCAAAAGAGGGGAAAATAAAAAAAAGTTTAAGGAGAGGCTGAGCAATTATTTATCAACAGGAAACGTTCCATATCGAGCAAAGCGATATCAAAACTACAACAAAACGGCTGTGCATCGTTAAACTTAAATAGATACTGAAAATATTTAACAAGCACATTTTACAAAGCATTTTAACACTGATGAAAAAAAGAAGCTGATGGCAAACAAAAAAGAAAAAAAACTGCACCAAAGAATCACAAGTTTTAAAATATTTAAGAAAAAGAGAAAAGGATGGCAACAAAAAGCACATTCTCACAATTAACACTATAAAAACCAAACTGGATTTTCAATAAACAGATTTGGCCAAATTCACTCGATTACTTCAAATTAAAAAAAAAGCACGTATTCAAGTTGTGTGTTTTTGAGATTTCTTCCAGTTATACAGAAGGTAACAAGATGTACCTTAATCCACTTGTCTACAACCAGAATCTACGCTAAGCGACGTCACTGTGCGACACTGAAGAAAATGTTAAATATAGGAAGAGGTGAGGATAATTCAGGCTTTCAGAGACTCTGAAACTGCAGGCAAACCTCATAGCAAGAGGTGGGAAACTACACAGCAAACCCATCAAGTACACTTTCTGTGAACTACAGTATGCAAAGACTATGTACAACATCGAGGCTGCAGCCCGTCGGCATTTAAAAGTTAGTTGGCTCAGTTACAGTTCATAAATATTTGAACTTCAAAGACTAGCAACTACATTTCCTAAAATAAACTACCTAATCCAAATTCCTGTTTTTTTGTGGAAAGAAAAAAAAATTACATACATTTTTAACCCTTTCAAAAACTACTTTACACCACATGTCCAGTGTGTGCCTTCTCACCCACCTTGCTGACTTTCTCATCATGCTGGGGACATGTTTGGATACACATCACATTACCAGGAGTATATTTGTCGTTAAGAGGTGGCACTACATTAGAGGAAAAGTCAAGGTGCATACAAGTTTATCTGTTGGACACCGCACAGTCGTTGGGTTGGATTGTGGAACAAGATCAACAAAGAGGCTGTTGGTCTGTGCACGCGTGAGAGAACGCATGCAGAGAAATCTTGGTGCAATCGGGAAATCTGATACTCAAATCAAGGCTGGGTTGTGATACCGACAAGTACCACTTCTCATCCTTTCACACATAAGTATCCAGGTCTTCCAGCTTGCATTTCTGGACAGTTTGTTGGAGTTTCTCAGTCTCTGGTGTATGTGTGTGCGTTTTGTTTTTCTCAGTGTTTTTTTCAGGTGCCGCGTGCGCTTGTCCATTTGGTGTTGTGATGGTTGTGGCTCTGTATTTATATGCCCGAGTGTCTGCCTCTAGATGTGCGTTATTCTGTGTGTACCAGTGTATCTGAAACTGCACCTACTGCGCCGTGATGTGAGACAGACTATAGGAAAGCACTTGGGTTTGCTCGTGGATCCTTCTGGTTTCTGTAGCGCACAGCAAGCCACACTCCCAGGATCTGTTAACAGAGGATTTACATGTAAGAGAACAGCATTAAAAAGGCCCTTAGAAGTTATTTTTCTCACCAAAGCTAGACCACAACTCACCACAAATGTGCTCATCATGTAACACAAAAAGGAAGGACAACAGTGAAGTGAAAATACTGGACAAACTTGAACAAACTGATAGCGTCATTTGCAACCAGTCTGTGCAGGAGGGAGCAAATGTGTAGCAATCACGAGTCATTTTTATTTAAAAGAAGAAAAAAAAGTGAAGCTGTCTGTGAAACAGTCACAGCTTTTAATCTGTTAGTAGGGCAGCTGTGGCTCAGGTGGTAGAGCAAATAATCAGGAGGTCAGCTGTTCGATCCCCATCCCCCCCCAAGTCCATCCTTGGGCAGGACACTGACACCTGAATTTCCCCTCATTCATTTACAGAGTACTTAGGCATGCAGGGTGTATGAATGTGTGCTTAGCACCGGCAAATTCTTCCCTTTAGTGTTACTGATACTTTGTGGGTTTTTATTAATGTGTGCCTCTGATCACAGATAGCCAGCCTCATATGTACTAATATGTGTCTACGCGCAGAAACAAAGGTTGGAGTTACAGGAACAATTTTAAGAGGTGGAGGTATGTGCAGAGAGAAGAAGAATGTGAGTAAAAGTGATAAGGAGAGAGGTTTAGATGCAAGGAGGTAGCAAAGGTAGATTAAGTTAAATACCTGGGATCAACCAGCTAAAGCAACAGACAGAGCATGTGAGAGGTGATGGAAAGTGCTGGCAGGGTGGAGAACAGTGTCAGGAGCGATTAGTGACAGAAGGACTGAAAGAAATAATAAACATATCAGAGGGACAGCTCAGGTTGTTGACCAGTTTTACAGACAAAGCTAGAGAGGCAAGGCTTAGATGGTTCGGACATGTGCATTGGTGAGATAGCTGATATAATGGTCTAAGGATGCCAAGTATGGAGCAGCCACAGCAGGAGAAAGACAGGTTAGAGAAGATTCATGGATGTAGTGAAGGAGGACACGCACAAGATCGATGAAGAAGATGTGAGGAATAAGGCGAGACGAAGGCAGAAAAAAGTTGAAGTCTGACTCATTATGGTTTAGGCATTAAAATGACTTAAGGTTACACAATAAAACTACTCAGTTAACTTTCAAACACAGTGGTTGCTACTTTGTCCAAGGCTGTATTTATTGGTTTGCCACAATGACACGTCTCCCTGAAGAGTTTCATGAACATTCATGCTGCTCACTCTAATTACACTTATTACCACGCATTACTTAAAAACAGTCATGAAACACGACTATTTCATGGTTTGGCATGAGAGCCATCTGGTAAACCTTCAGCACAGTCCAATAGAGTGGAGACTGCATAAAATGAATTTCAAAGACTGCATATTTATATTTGGTCAGGACATCGGTAACAACTCCAACACTGTATAAATCATCTTTATTCCAACAGAGCCCAAAAATGTTCCGTTTTCCTTAGAACACCAACGAAATGAGAAAATAACAGTTCTGAAAGTAGGTCTTTAGAGAAGAATATCAGAATTTTACAATATGAAAATATGTGTTATATTATATGTGTGTGTCATCATGAAACAGCACATGGAATATGTGCTTAGACTGTTCATTAGTGAAAACGGTGAATTACACAGAAAAAAAAAAAGCACATTCACCCACTACTTTTAGATACACCTGTTCATTAACCCAATCATCTAATCAGCCAATCACATGACAGTAAGTCAATACATTTAGACACATAGGTGTTGTCAAGCCAACCTGATGAAGTCCATTTAAAGGATCAGATACAAACCTCAGTGAAGCTGAAAAAGAGCCCGACGCCTCCGAGGATCTTCAGAGCCTCTGTGGCATGATCCAGCATCTTCGTTCCACAGGGCACACATCTACCTTCCGTTGTGCATGGCTAGAGTGAAAGAGAAAGGCGTTCTGTCTTTTTGCACTATGACTCAACGGGTTGTCAGCTAAGCCAGTATTAGCTACCAAAATCTATTCTGAGAATAACAGTAAGTGCCCTACTTTTTCCTAAAGGAAATGCTTATGTGATTTTTGCTTGAGGCTCATTGTGTAACTGGAAATACAGAAAAAAAATCATTGATAGAGTGGGTAAAAAACAGAAATAAAATGGGGTTTATTTAGGCAACAACTGAAGTATGCACCTAAACCTTTCTAGTGGGTTTTTCCATGACTGTGTTTTTCTTTAGTTAATGAAAAAAATGTGATATTTGAGGCTTACAGCATGACAGCTCCCCAAGTCCTGGTTAAACTGCTGCAGTTTGCCAGTGGTGTTGAAGAGCCCACAGCAGTTGAGTTGGGTCTCCAAGTCTACCTTGGTCTGATTTTCCATGATTCCCCACGCAGAGTTCAGAAGTGTCTCCTGGAAAATGTAAACATGACAAATAAAAGCCAAAGGCATTAAATAATATACATTTCATATGAATTCAGAAATGCAGATTTTGAAATAAACATTATGTTGGCTCACCTGCTGCCCACGGTTCATTGCCAAGCAGGAACATGAAATTCCAAATTGGAAGAGGAAGACAATGAAGAGAATGACCATGTACTGAGAAGCAGGGGTCAAAGAAACAACGGCAGCAACAAACTCCACGTTTCAAACAACAAAGAGTAATCATCTGTGAACTGGGAGGGATTTCGGCCCTGATTTCTTAAACTGTATGTAAAAGATGGATGTAGCCACTGTGACGTCATCCAGCGGTTTGTAAGATCCTGTTTTTGAAGCGGAGTATTTTTCCCATCTGCATCCTAGCTATGTGAAACCGGGTCAGAGCATAGGATGGACATGACAGAGAAACATGGGTACACTGCATGCTCTTATGGCAGTGATTTGTTAATTACACTGTAGCTCTGTTCCAACTTCAGAAATTGTACTTCATGTTGAATCAAACAAGACTTGGAACTGAAGCTCAAAGCAGAGCACAAAAAAAAAAAGCTGATCAGATTAAAAAGATCAGGGAAGTGTAGGGCCGTTTTCCCATCGAGTTTTATAAAACCATTAAGGCACTTCAGCACTGGCTTTACATTCCAGGCTTAGTTCTCCAAACTATCTTGCTGCCCAGATATGAGCTTGTCCACTGTTGGGAAGTTTGAAAGGAAGCTCCTCGACACACAGGTGAAGTAAAGATAAACTGTTACTAACAGGTTGTTTTACCTGAAGGCAGAAGAATTTGGACCAATAATTTGGGGGCTGTAATTCAAAATGATGTTTCTTTATGCACAATCACTCCAGATCTGACACAACGAATAGTGGCATTAATGTGCTACTCCAGGCTTAAAAAGACTGCCTTTATAACCCAGTGGCAAATATTTAGTTTTGTTTAACAGAGTCTAAGAGAAGATCATTTGCCACTTTCCGTGTGTAGTTTTGTTTTTTAAAATTCTGCTGCTTCTGCTTTATTAATGCCAATACCAACAATTTCTTTTATTCTCTCAACTTCAGGCGGAAGAATGAGTCACAGTAAACCTACATAAAGGCCCACTTATGCAGGAATAATAATTCTGTTGTACACTGTGATGCTGCCAGAAACTTAAAAAACTAACAAACATTTTTGGTGATACAACCCAGCACCTACATAAACTACATCCTGTGTTAGGTCTGACGGGCACCGCAAACCTTGAGACAGTTCAAAAGTATGGAAGAAGACTGGATGGGACTTAGGAAGGACAAACATTTAAACCAAAAGATAAGTAATTTTTCCCAAATAACTCAGATCTACTGCGAACTTGTGCATCAACAAAGCTATAAAGGATACAAAGAAAAGCATGACTTGGTGGTGGTGCATGGCTCCGATCAGTCCTACAACAGCGATGAGCAGCAGGAAGACGCCCACCGCAATGACCCCTCCGATAATGTGGATGCTGGACACCAGGCCGTAGCCCTTCCCCCATGCCGCGACTCCGATCAGCAGCAGCCCGACCAGCTGAAGGGAGCAAAGGGAAAGAGGTTAACCACGGTCAGCTGAGGCAGAGTGCATCAGATGGATCACAGCTTATCACGAGGTCACAGCACTGTGGTTTGATTACTACAAACGCAGCTCAGTCTGTAGAGAAGAGTTCAGCTTTGGAGTTCAAGTGTGAGAAAGAGGCCGACTAAAAAACAAGTTTAGTGTTAAATACCTCACACAGCTTGAGGACATGAAGCTGCTGGTCCAGGACAGTGTTTTATGTATTTAAAAATGTATTTTTAAATCATCTGTAACCAATTCCAAACAGTTATATTTTAGAGCATTTTTATTATTCTTTCACTTCAAAATTGCTGAAATGAAAAACAAAATCATCTATTTAAATTGAGCACAAGTTGGTCTTGTAAACAAATGCCTTCAAGATTGAGCTGATATGTTTGCCGACTCTGACCCTATTGACTGATCTCTGCTTGGTCACATCAATTTTGTGACGGCGCATGAACTGCATGTCAAAGAGTTGAAAGACACGAAATCACTACATGACAAAATCTGACTTCTGTATTTGTGGAACAAACAGGGAAATTAAAACATCAAAAACTGAAGTCAACACTTCAACCTGCTCTTTCAGTTCAAAATACAAAAATATTGACTTACAATCATATGAGCTTTACGAAACTAGCAAAAATTTACCACTAAAATGTTACATGAGTGATATTTTGGCAAAGAATAAACTACAAATTAAATATAAAAAAAATAGGGATGCTCAGATCTGATATTTGGTTGGGATACACGTCCAACGCGAACTCAAAAAGCTAGACTGAACTTCCGTGTTGATCCATTTAGCCACACAACAGTGGGAAATACAAGTAGAGCTAATGTAACATGAAGGAAGCTAACAGCAAAGCAGCAGCAGTCTGCAGGCATTTCACATTGTGACACAAACTGATATTCTTCACATGTTGCAAAACTTTATATAACTGAAAACTGTGGTCAAAGGTCGATGCTTTGGCCTTCCCCTCTCACATTTACTTTTGCTCGTTATATAATGTCTTTCTGGTTTAATGCAAGTTAGCAACACTTGCTGGAAAGCTTTTATTGCACTTACAGTAACAGAAAACATTGTTGTCAACTCGATATTTCACTGCTGCCTCTATTCAGCTCTAGACATGAAGCATGTACGTGTGTGTGAGTGAGGAGACTGTAAATAAATGCAGATAATGCCTGAATATACTTTTTTCTACTGTACTCTATAAATAATCAGTTGCTTAAAGTTGTTGAAGGCGTCATTTATTCTTCATCTCCACATTTCCCCAGTTGGGAATGGGTCGTTGTCAGGTGACCGAGTATAACCATGATCAAGCTGCATATTTTTTTCCCTCTCCTTCTTGGGTTTCTTGAAAGGCGCTATACAAATCTATAATATTATTATTATTATTATTATTATTATATAGTTAAAGCAATCTATGAGTTTTCCTATTGACTTAAACTTTTTGTACTCCCCCCCCAATTAATGTGTTAATGTTTACTTTCTCTCTCTACTTACATCCATTTCAGAAGTAAATCATAATCACAGATCCTTCTGAAATTCTACACCATAACCTGACATGCACCTCAATAGAAACCCAAGTTCAAGTCGATCGACGCAGCTTGGGACTATTTTGATTGATCTGTTCAGTTCCATCGAGTCCATCATCTATGCATTTCTGGCTTTTTTCCCCCACAGGTATTGAATAATCATCGCCTCGATACAAGGATGTTAGCGAATTCCTGGATGGAGACTGCAGAATACATCGCAACATGGAAATGTACCAAGAATGAAGAAAAACGGACAACCGTATCATTTTGTTTCTACCGTGGCTGCCATCACATATAAAAACATCATAAATGATACCAATGGCCACTTACATAGGTTATGATATAGGTTCTACAAAGATTCAGTGCCGACGTTTAAATAAGCATCGCAGGTATCAAAGTGTTCGTGTATTCAGCTCGCTGACGCCTGTTCCGATTCGATCCTGATTTAAAAAAAAACAAAAAACAACAACATCAAACTCGTGACAGATGCGGTGACTCAGCCATCAACAGGACTGGCGGCATCACGTTCCTTTCTGACTGGGCAGGTCGTGTCACAAGTATTTCACTGGGCACTGAGTCGACAGGGACAGCGAGCTCTCTGTCCTGGTGTGTCAGTAACAGCTATGCAAACACCAGCTTTACTCCTGTTTTCACCAATGGCACACAGCACAGACGTTCGAGAGTTCAAAAGTTTATTTAGCCTTTTTTTCTTTTGCTTGCTTTCTTGACTAGTTTATTGTTAGCTTCATTTATTTTTACACCTGGTAACCTCATTTTTTTTTTTTTTCCATTTTTAGAGTAACCTCTGCCTGCTGTCATTGGGCAAGGGGGAAGGGTACACCACAGGCAGACAAACACATTCACACTTACTACGTATCCTAACCTTAAAAACATGCCTTTGGACGATGGGAGGAGCCAGATTACCAGGCGCAAACCGACACAGCGAGAAGAAACTCCAAAACGACAGGTACCCGCTCGATTCAAACTAGGACCTTCTTACTCTGCAGCAACCATTTCAACCACTGAAACTACCTAAAAATACTTTGGGTTACTTTCACTCATCATATTTGGTCAGAGAGACTTAATAAAAGGCAGAAGCTACTTCAAAGAAGGACAGCATTACGAAGCAGAGCAGGGCTACAGGTATTGATTATTTTAGTAATAAACTATTCTATCAACTACTCCTCCAAGTAATGGGATAACAAATATTTTGGCTTTACTGTAGATTTTCACTGTTTCACTGCAAGAAAAGTTTGCTTTACTTCACATCAAACAGGTGGCCAGATGAAGAACTCATGGCCACCTTTTCTCAGCAGTAGTTTTAATGGTGGTTAAAGGAAGAAGCTGAGTTCTCTGTCTTGGTAACGGCTCCACCTCTTTGCTGTGTGTAGACAGACTCTAGCATCACGTTAAACTAGAGCTGGGCGATATGAGATTTTTTCATATCACGATATGTTTTTTTCATTTCAGGCGATAACGATATATATCACGATATAAGCCAAATAACTATATTTGTAAGATTTAAATGTGCCGTATTGCAAACTACACAAAAGGCAGCCACTAAAGCGTTTAAGTTTCAAAATAGAACAAACAAAACAGACTAAATTGTCAATTCCACTTAGAAACAAAATATTAATTCTAAAAATAAATCTTAGTTTGTTTTACAGAAGAACAGACAAAACTGACTAACTTTTGTCAATATCAAATAAACTGAGAACTAAAAGGAAATTCTCAATCTCTCCTTGTTGTATAGCTGAGCTTTTCAAACAGTTTTAACAGTTACTTTAGTCTGACAAAAGCCGAATGACGAATTAGCGCTTCCAGTCAGAGACTGAGGCTACGTCCACGGGTATTTTTGAAAACGGAGATTTTCCATTTTCGTTTTAAAAAATAATCCCGTCCACACATAAAGGCAGAAATTAAGGAAAACGCAGCTATGAACATGCCAAAGCAGCAGGTGGCGCTAGATTCCTAACCGTGCAGAAATGTTGGCCAATCAGAAGTCTAGAAGCCTTGGTGGGAAAAAGTAAACAAAGCCGGGGCATAGAAGCAGAACCGAGTCGTATGTGTGGAGGGACAGTAACTGTGTGTATATGTAAGCATTTAAACACTGCAGAGAGTAGAATTAACAGTATTGTAGAAATTCATTTCACCGAAACAATAACGTGGCGCACAGTGTGACGCATGCACCAGTTTATTGTATTTCCAGACTTGCTTTCGGCACAATTTACAGTGCACGCTACTCTGTTTTTTGTCAGACTTGAAATAGCTGAAATACCTTCACACTACGGAACTTCTATGGCTCTTCCGTTCGACAATTTCTCCGGCATTGGAACCATCATCTGTTTTCTCTTCGGTCACGCTCGGTTGATTTTTCTAGTCGGCACACTCATTTCCTCCATTACGCACTGGCTCCATTACCCGCTGGCTGCTTCCCAAACAAACACACGTGCGGCTTGGCACTTGTGCTGTACGTAACAAGTCACGCGATGTGACGCTGCGGCTGTGATTGGTTTGGCTCTGCGCTACTTAATTTGGATTGGCTGACCTTTTTTTTTTTTTGAGGACAAGAGCAGCGAGGTCTATCGCAATAGCTTAATTTCTCTATCGAGTAAAAGTTATATCGCGATACATATCGTTATCGTTCTATCGCCCAGCTCTACGTTAAACTATGACTTCATCGACTTAATTGCTGCTGTTGTGTTATCAGCCCTTTTTGTTAAGAAAACTGAGGGCTGCTTGGGCTTAATGTTGTAATACAATATTATCATGCGTTCTCCTGAACCTGCCCACGCTCAGATGGTGAATTCTAAGAAATCGTGCATTAAACAAAGCATCGAAGCAAAAATTTGCATTTTATTTTTACTCATAGGGAGAGACCCTGCAGCAGGTCTCTCCTTATGAGGCAAAATTAGTCTACTGCAAATAAATTTTCTTAAAATATTTGATCCATTTTCATTATTTCACTTTTCCAATAAATAGCAATTCAGTAAATTTATATTTGTGGATGCATATTTTGTCACATGAATTACAAAGTAGGAAATCTATTTAGGCTGAGCTTGATGTTTTCTTGTACATAAAGGATGATTTACATTTGCCTCCTCACAGTGAGGAAGACAGATTATTACATTTAACACTGGAATCAGTTCAGTACTCCATATGAGCAGACACCCAAAGCCGAGACATCAAACTGAAACTGGAAACTGCTGGATTGGTACATCCCTATTGATTACAGAGTGTGACTGGAACAACAGAAACAACATCCTGCTTAAACCTACCGAGTTTTTGTACTGTTACAGTACTGTGCAAAAGTCTTGAACCAATTTTGCTAGTAAAATGGGATTTAGGTTCAGAGATTCATTGAAGCGTGTGCAAACATACATTTAAAATGAAGCAATAAAACTAACAGTCTGTGCTCTGTCCATATTTGCTATGACCACCTTTATTCTTCAGCACAGATCTTAAGCAAGCTTAATGTAATTTGTTTAAGTAATCTTCAGGAAAGGTTCTCCAGGATTCTTAAAGGGCACTGAAAACTTTTGTTTGGATGTTGGCTGGCTTTCGTCATGTTCTGTGCCAAGATGATCCCACACTGCTTCAGTAATGTTTAGGTCTTGGCTCTGGCGAGACCAATCATTGGCAGCATGTCTGGGACCATTGTTATGATGAAGAAGATTTTGCCAGACTCTTTCCAGACAGTACTGCATCGTGGATCAAACTTTGTACTTTTAAGAGTGTTGATGAGATCTCCTACACCACACCACTGACTGACATGCAGCTCTTAACCATGACAGATCCTCCATCGTGTTTTCCGCATGGTGTAGGAGCTCACAGTTGTACCCCTTGATGATATTCAGCAAACAGATTTTTTTTGTTTCTAAAGAAAATTGATTTTTAAATACTTATTATATGCTGCAGTGTCCTCCACTTGCCCACTTTCCTCAAAAATTTCCTTAAGGAGACACTGCACACCATACTGAGACATGCCAAGTTTTAGGCTCTCTGGGAATCACGTTATTTTTGTGAAAATACTAAAATGCTTTGTGCCTCTAACACCATGGAACATTTGGCATTTACTAGCAGAATGAGTGCTTAAAGAGGCAGTTTTTTTGTCTGTTCTGTGTAGACGACATAGACTCTTCCTTTCAGGTTTATGCTTTAATAAATCATAGGTTTGTGTTAAGTGGCTAAACAGACACCACTGTATAGTAATCAGAAAGGGAATTAACATAGCGTATTATGCAAACAAAGCAAATTTCAGCCTGACAACGACCAGTCAAATCTTATCTTTCTTCACATTTATAGTCTTTGAATGTAAGAAATGTAGCATTTTCTCAGAAGTGGTGATCTGGACTTTGTCAATGCAGGAAGTATGCGTTTGCAGATTTTCTGATAAGAGTTTATGCTAGCTGAACTGAAGACAACATGTTGACCATCACCACTCACATGACTGACACAAAGGACAAAGGCAGACGCGCGAGCTGATTATATTCTCTTAGCACACACCCAGGTGACCGACAGCAGAGCTCATGAAACCATATCAAGCCGAAACGTATTAGTTTCACATTTTAGGTCAGCTGGCCTCGCAGGTAACGGGATCTTTCATACGCATAATGGCGATAGCTAACAAGCTAGCCGCTACTTCTACTCAGCTAACCTACGCTACATTACATTACCACTGTGCTATGGTAATATCAGAATATTTTACATACCAATAACCATCTGTAGAATGAACAAAGAGGCATGCCAAATAAAAAGTTAAAACAGGTCAGTACATTTCTTCGCCAGTGTTTCGCTTCTTCATTCACAAGCTAGTTAGCTACAAGCTAATGTAACCAGCAGAGATTTAGCATCCGTGTTACATACTCACCATGTAAACCACATTCAGGGAGCACAGGGCGTTTTTGGAACAGGTGAACCCGCCGCACACCATCTTCGAAACACTTCCTCCAGCTAAGCGAAAAAATACAAACAACCTGAACTAATATCCCTGCTAGCTCGCTCTGAGAAACAGCTGCGCTGATTACTGGAAACAAACAGCACCGAGGGCGGATGACGATGGTGCATGACGTCAGGGCAGCGACTCACGTCATCGTGTAAAGTTGAATAACCATTTTTTTTGCTTCCTCCTAAACGCCAAATACATGCATGGGGTTAACTGCTGACTCTAAACTGACCACAAGCGTGAGTGTGAATGGTTTCCTGACCAGGGTGACCACTGAACCGGTGATTCCCCCCACCCCACGAACTGAATAAGCAGATTGGACTTTATTTGTAATCCTGTCAGGGAATTTTTTTTTATAATAGTATGCTTCTGTTAAATGTAAATAAATGAAAACATTTCACAGTATACTGAAGCTCTGACAAGAAAATACAAAAAAAAAGAAAAAGAGAAAGAAAGAAAATGTCAACTTTTTATGTACCATACTGGATAGAAATGTAAAGATACATCACCTGCAAAATGTTGCTGGTGATTCATTTTTTTTCCCTAGAATGCAGTTACAGTAACTTAGTGTTTTTCAGAGATCAATATCTCTGAAAAACACTTTGTCAGGAGTGTCAGGAAAAACATTTGTTACTGCATGTATGCATATCTATCTATCTATCTATCTATCTATCTATCTATCTATCTATCTATCTATCTATCTATCTATCTATCTATCTATCTATATATATATAGTTATTTTTAAAAGGAAACAAAGCAAATACAAAAAGAAAATGTATAGAAAAGGATAGAAAAGGTCTTATCAGCCCCCAGTGTGTGATCTCTGTAGTGATGGCGGGACACTTGTTGTAACAGAGAGATACAGGCTTGTTAGTACATCAGGGATGTATGTGTGTGATAGCGTATGACAAAGGGAAACACAGATATGTTCAGTTCCGCTGGATAAGCCTGCCTGACTGAAAAAAATAAAATAAAACCCCCCACAGTGTTTAAAAGCCAAAGTTTAAAGCAGTAGGTCACAACCCTTTGGTGCGTGTGATGCTTTTGAATGGAGAAACAGTGCTGTTGTGACCTCACGTCACTGACCTTAATGTAGATGGGTAACTTTTCCCTCAGAGACAGCTTCATTTTTAGGCGCCTCAGGAGGTTGATGCATTCAGCAGATCAAAAACAGTGTGAGAAAACAGCTGACATTAGCTGATGTAAGTACGATCAGACTAATAGGAATCATCAATTAACATCATGACACTGATTTTGAGCTTGTAAACTAAGCTATAGCAATCTTTTTTTCTCCTTGACAACATTATACAGGTACATGTAGGCATATATAGATAAATGGATAACACAGCTATTGGTGTCACAAGCCAGTGTACTCCTAGTGCATCTCTCAAGCTAGGTTAAGTTGGGAGGAGGGGCATTTGGTGTAAAATATTTTCTAATTTTCAAATATGTGAAAAGAGTTCACACCAGATGGGTCAAGCCTGGGTTAACAGCAACCACCACTGCTGGTGTTGACTGGAGCAACTGGAGCGGCCTGCTTCAAATCCACCTCCATCGTCCCAATACCCATCAGTAACTAATTACTGATTACTTCCCCAAAAAGTAATCCTGTTACTTTACTGATTATTTATTTTCAAAAGTAATTAATTACTTAGTTACTTAGTTACTTTTTAAAAACACGATTTACAACCTGAATAGGTGATAAAGCGATAGATCTTTCAGCCCAATTCTACTTTTTCTGCATAATCCATCATACAAAATGTAATCAAATGGAAAAGTCTCTTTTTAAAACTTGTTTTATTAGTTTTAATCTTTTAACTTTATGCATCAAGCAAAAATTTAATTATATGCAACATTCTCTGACTGGAAGAAATTTGTTTAACATTTAAACCTATTTTCTGCACATTCCAGCACATATAAAATATTTTGTGTTTACTCTTCAAATAGATGTAAGTAAAACACAGCAGAAAATAAATCAAATCAAAGACTCAGCGGTCCTGTTGCTCTAGTTTTCACCTGTATAAGACGCGAGGCGGAGGTTTGCCCTGGTGCAGGTGTGCCGCAGAGTCAGTGGAAGAATCCGCGAGTTTCGTCTGTGAGATTTCCCATTCCGTGGTTGCGCACTCGGTGCTTGCTTCGGAAGTTTAGGGGGTTTTTTTCGCTGTAAAAGAAGTTTTCTTCCCACGCACACGGACCTAATGTTTTTGTCACTTTTTATGGAATCAAACTCAAAGTAAGGTCAGTACTTCCACGCTTTAAACGCTGCACGCTCATACTCTCTCCCGCACTCGATATATTATCCATTGTTGATCTGCACACAGCTGTTGCCACGAACGTCGCACTCGCTTACGTCATTGTCATGAGACACTCTCGCAAAAAATCAGGTTTTAGTAACGCAGTAACGCAGCGTGCTCACAGGAAAGTAACAGTAATCTAATTACCGTTTTTGCAATAGTAATCCCTTTACTCGTTAATTGAAAAAAGTAATCGGATTACAGATTACTGCCCATCTCTGGCCCTCACTCCCATCATCACAAAGTGCTTAGAGCACACTTTAAATCCTGTCCACCCCCCACCCTGGACCCCCATCAATTCGCATACCGTCAGAACAGGAGCGCAGAGGATGCAGTCTCCATCGCACTGCACTCTGTCCTCTCACACCTGGACAACAACAACACCTACGCCAGAATGCTGTTTATAGACTTCAGTTCAGCATTCAATACAATCCACCCCTCACAACTCATCAGGAAACTGACAGACCTGGGCATCAGTTCCCTCATCTGCAAATGGTTACTGGACTTCCTGACCAACCGCCCCAACATGTCCGGCTGGATAACCGCTGCTCATCTACAATCACAATGAACACCGGTGTACCACAAGGCTGTGTGATGAGCCCTTTCCTCTACTCCCTCTTCACCCACGACTGCAGACCTGCTGATGGTTCCAACACCATCATTAAGTTTGCAGATGACACCACGGTGATTGGCCTCATCAGTGACAACGATGAGGCCGCCTACAGGGAGGAGGTGGATCGTCTGGCTGAGTGGTGCGACAGAAACAACCTGCTGCTTAACACCGAGAAGACCAAGGAGCTCATCGTGGACTACAGGAGGAATGCTGACCCACATCCACCCATCCACATTAAGGGGACGGCTGTGGAGCGTGTGAGCAGCTTCAAGTTCCTGGGAGTCCACATCTCCGAGGATCTCACCTGGACGACCAACTGCTCCAAGCTGGTCAAGAAGGCTCACCAGCGCCTCTTCTTCTTGAGGACTCTGAGGAAGAACCACCTGTCCTCAGACATCCTGGTGAACTTCTATCGCTGCACCATCGAGAGCATCCTGACCAACTGTATAACAGTCTGGTACGGGAACTGCTCTGCCTCGGACCGGAAGGCGTTGCAGAGAGTTGTGAAAACTGCCCAGCACATCGCCGAAGCACCACTTCCTGCCATAAAGGACATCTACAGGAAGCGGTGTCTGAAAAGGGCTGGGAAAATCATCAAAGACCCCAGTTACCCATCACATGGACTCTTCACCCTCCTGCCCTCTGGGAGGCGCCACAGGAGCCTCCAGACTAAGACCACCAGCTTCTTCCCCACAGCTGTCAGACTCCTGAACTCTGCCTCCTGACATCTGACCCACATTAAACACATGGACAGGACATACACACACCCACAATGGACAAAAACAAATAATGGACAACTGTACCCTCATACACACAATAATAACATGGACTGAACCACCACTCACAACCACTAGCACTTTATATAGCCTCTATAGGAATTATCCACATATTTCACTTATCTTACCTGCACTACTGTATAATTCTGTATAAATAATCATTCTGTACAATACGATAATTTTAATTCTACAACTGTTTATAACTTGCATAGTTCACATTTCTGTATAGTTTTTCATATTTATATCCTGTTCATGGCCTCTACATAGCTTGTACACCACTACAGCCTGCACATACTTATAGTTATAGCATATAATGTACACGGTACCTTCATACCGTGTACATTATAACATACCCATAATAGACCCATATTTTGTACCCTCATACCTACAACAGACCCATTTCTGTCTATATTATTGCTAATATATATTGTAATATATCTATATCATGGCTAAAGCACTTCTGGATGGATGCAAACTGCATTTCGTTCCCTTGTACCTGTGACATGTGCAATGACAATAAAGTTGAATTCTATTCTATTCTATTCTATTCTATTCTATTCTATTCTATTCTATTCTATTCTAGCAAGACACAGGTAGAAACTATGCTACTGAAGCCAGAGGAGGGTGAGGAGGAGAGAGGGAAGGTGTATTCAGAAGCAAAGAGAGAAGGAAAGGTAGGCATGTGGGTCTGAGAGTAGGGTTTTAAATGGCCGTACTGCAACAGAAAAGGGAACATATGTATGTGTTGCCTGCACAGGAGATCAGGTGGAAGGGAAATAAGGCCAGAAGCATCGCCAGTGGATCCAAACTGTATTAACATTGTGTAGATAGGAAGTGAAATGAAACAGGGGTAATCTTAAGCATGTGAAGATTTTCACTGGGAGTTACCAAGAGAGACAGGATTAGAAATGAGTACATCAGACAAACTTTCAGTTTGATCAGTTTGGAGACAAAATTTGAAGAAGGAAGAAAATTTGAAGAAGTAAATGCCAGGCAGGAGAAAAACAGGAAAGCCTCAGAGAAGATTCATGGATGAAGTGAATGAGGATGTGCAGAGGGTTGGTGTGACAAAGGAAAATAGGGGCGGTATAAAGATAATCCATTGTAAACGACAAGCAAAAACAATAAAAAGGAGATGATTTCCAGTTAATACTTATACTACACTTTATTCAGTAAGACTTCAAACCAGCAACTGAACCAATCGATCAATCAATACGGCGTTTACTCAGGTTACAAGTCAAGTGAGCCAAGAGCCACTTTTCGATGGACTTTCATATAATCAGACTTCTTTTTGGAGCAAGTGTTGCCCCCTGTTGACCATTAGAAAAACTACAGGACTAAGCATTTTGGCACTGGCTTCCTTTCTAAGGAAGCAAGATTCACTTTTTATATAAAAAGCTTGAGAATTTTGTAAACCTGCCACCGGATCATGAGTGAACAT